ACAAAAGTGGGAGTCTTGACTTTGCCTGAGGTCCTTTGGTCTGCCTTACCAGATGCTAGCTAGAATGGGTCCTACAAGGAAAGTAAAGATTCCCAAATCTTCAAGAACTGGGGAAAGTCCTGGTTACTTACAGTTTCCAGAGACAGAATGATGGATGGTTTCATTTGTGAATGTGCTATTTGTTAGGGCTCTTCATCTAGTCAGCAGGTCAACATGTAGTGAATGGGCCCAGCATAAACAGGGTCCTCAGCTAAGCATCTTGGGGCCAGAACAAAGAATGAAAATAGTTCTTTCCCCTATTACACAAAATGAGCAGCCAACAGAGATGTGCAGAGAGAGAAATGAGTCACTATGTGAGAGGGTCATCTGAACAAGGCTCAGTCAGGAAGGCATTGGAATAGAATGACCTTGGCAAGATCCAAAGTCATTAAGATGAGAAAAGCTAAAATTCTGTATGTATTGCCCAACTGAAGTCAGATTAAAAAAAAACACCCACTTATTTCCCAAATAAAATGTTAAGGATCACCTTCCATAGACCATTTTAACTCTATTTCTGATAAATCATTAAAAGCCTTCTACTGGAATCACTCTAATGTCCAAAAAAAGTAACACTCATAAAATAGTTAATGTCAAAATGTAAATGGTTTGTTTAAGATTCAGCAATTGTTGCTGAATCAAACACAAAATCTCTATGGCTTGAATAGCAAGGGAAACAAAAGGCTTGACGATTTAGTGCTCGTTACAGACTGTCTGGCTGAATTTTAGATTGCAACTTAAAAGAAAAAAAACATTAAACCAGTTCAAGTGTGAATTGACATATGCACAGCAGTTTTCAGCTGCCTGCAAATGGGGCAAGGACACAGACTGAATATGACTTGTACATGCCATGGTTGAGTATGGGTCTGGGATCAGATCCTAGCTTGGACCCAGGTCCAGGGGCAGGGCCTGGGGTAAACAGAATCCTGAGTAAGAAGGTACTGGAGTACAGGGTCCCACCAGGGGCTTAGAAAAGTACCCCCAGTGAGTTCTTTCCTGCAAGAAGGCACAGGGTTGAGAACAGTCAAATGGTAGGTAGGGTTTGTTCTTACCTGAGGGGGGAGAGAAATAGCAGCTGCTTGCTCTCCCCCTCCTTTTCTAGCATTGCCTGTCAGGTATTTGCATGAGCCACAGTGRGACTCCTGACTGCTAGATCTAACTGTAGGCCTGGTGACCCCCACTGCCCTCAAGTCTAGTCTTTTCTGGTAAGTTTGTGGGGTGTTGAGCAAAAACCTTTGCTAAATTCTCTTGTCCACTGGGCTATAAAAGTGCTTAAAATTTTACCAGCTGTGATTTATTTCTTTGAGTCTTAAAGACAGTTCTGTATTTCAAAGTCCCTAATTAAAATRCCACTGTCCCTGGGTTTGGAGGACCAGTCATGTGTAAGGTGACCACATAACTTATTGTCCACACTGGGACAATAAGAGAAAAAGGGCACTATTAATTATGGCACGAAGACAAGAGGCATAAACAGAACATATGGTCACTCTTTGTATAAGGCTTTGTGTTAGGTTCTGTGGAAGATACAAAGGTGAATAAAGTACTTTCGTGATCCTGGAACCTGGACCTTGCACCGAAGGGCAGGAATCCTGGGAACAGGCCTAGGTTAGGCACTCACGGAGGGGGAAGTTGGCCCCCTAAAGGGAAACATCATGGCAGTTTAGTAGTAGTAAAAGACATGGCCATGGGATCCAGAGACAGACAAACCTGAGTTCGAATCCTAGACTTCCTTTTTGCATGCCCTTGGGATAGGTTAATTAATTTGTTGCTGCCCGAACTTTCTCATCAGTAAAGTGAGAGTTATCTCATAGGATCACTGTAAGAATTAAATGAGATACATACATGGCACAGACTTTTTCAATAAGTTCAATATTATTACTGGCATTATCAGGACTGGATGTCTACTTAAAACCCCAACTACTTCTGTTAATGCTCTGAATCAGAAGGCAAAGGAAAGGCAGGAAGAGAAAAATGCATAACGGGCAGACTTAGCTTATCACCCTCCAAACTAACCCTCTAAGAGCCATTCCAGGACTGAGCAGTTGAAGGGACTCAGTCAAAGCCACTCCTGAAGAAAGCACCTGACAACCAGGCTACCTTGCTCTTGGTGCCTCTTCTGTTGGTATTAAACTTTCCACACTGACACAGCCCATCCACTGCTGCTCCATCCTCAGCTCCTAGAAGCAGGTGCCAAAATGTCATGGCTTTTCTGAGCCATTCCCTCAAGGAGGACAGCAGACAGAAATGACGTTCCAGTCAGTGAACCCTGTCCTAAAGGATTCAGATAACACTGTGAGTAGGCAGTAATAGACCCTCCATACCCTCCTGGGCCTGTGATGACAGAAACACAAAAATAAGGGCAGCCCCTTCCGGTCATGAGGAAGGTGGTTTCTGGATTGCCTCTATTCAGTGGCTATCAAGGGCTTCTCAAATCTTAACTTGTGCAATTCCATGTCAACTCGAGGTAGATAATACAACCCCTTTTACTAATTCCACAAACTGAGTCCTATAAAGTGAAGTAATTTTCCCAAGGTCATATAACTAATAAGGGGAAGAGTCATGATAGCTCTGGAATGGGAGCCAAGAGACCTGGATTCCACTGGGCATACACCACAAACTACTAGTTGAAAGCCCAGGAAGAAGTCCTTCATTGATCTGTACTCTACTTCTATTATTTATCAAGAAGTCAAGCTGCTTCACCAAAGGAGCCACTGCAAGTATCAAACAAGACAGACAAGTGAAATTACTGCAAAAGAGTTAAACATTATAATGTTGCTGCCATCATCCTCCATCACTCAGTTTTGGAACTGGACCCAGATGGAGGAGGGACTGGTCCCCTGGACTATGCCCTCCCCAAACCCTGGACACAGCAGCATCTGTGAACTAGGAAGAAATGTAAATTCTCAGACCCCAACCCACATTACTGGATCAAAAAACTACTTGGCCATCTGCATTTTAATAAGCCTTCCAGGTGCTTCTGATGTATGCTTAGGTCTGAGACCCACTAGGTGAGAATATTCCTGGATAGATAACAAGCTGGGCTCTCTCATGCTCTGGCCAGGGAAGGTGCTTCAAGGGCCTAAGGCCTGCTTTAAGGCTATGAGGGCCACTGCCAAGAAGATGAAAAGCTCCCAGTAAAACCTAGACCTACATGGCCACACTGATCAAAATATAATAAAGAAGAAAGTAAGAAATCTGACAAAAGGAAAGCGCAGCTTTGGTGGGGGACAAATACAACAATCTTCTGTGGGAGATGAGAAGCATAAAAGGGATGTTAGATGTTCAAAGAACCAAATGGCAAAATGACAAAAAAAAAAAAAAAAACAAGAATAAAGACAAAGTGTGGACATGAATGCCACACAGGCCTCAGTCTAATGATGGCAGTAGCATGGAACAGCAGTCCTCTCCCCACCCCCTGCAAAACTAGAGCCCTGCTCCTCCACTCTCAACATGACAGCCTGTATAAATAGAGTCTTGAGGGGAAAATATCAGCAATTAGTCACTGAATCTTGCTTGTTGGAATGAAGGAAAACTTGTAGAAAGTCACCAGAGCCTCTGGTGGGAAAAGCTCAGCTAAGGAGGCCACACAGAAAGGGTGAGAGCATGGTCATAAAGGGCGAAGGCCTGTGGGCTGTTTCTGCAGTGTTTGATGCCTGCCAAGTCTTAACCTGGAAGGAAAATGGAGGGATTGGCTATGGGGCTATAATGAACTCCAACCTGGGCCCACATGCAGGTCAGAAAGCTTTTAATGTGGGCTTGGGCTGGGCAGGACTGGGACCAGGTGGAAGGAAGAGTTGGCCCAGTGAAATAGACTCTACTGGGGACTGTGGGCACCTTGGGGGTTAAGTGGCACAACACAGAGCCTCTGGACAAAAATGCCTCTGCCACAGAAAGCCTATTTGCCACATTCCAGTCCTCCCCAGGCCCTTAAGGGCACATGCTTTGGAAGTGGTGACAGTAGGAGCTTCTGTGGTTCTAATCTGGAAATTTGCTGAAAATGACCCTGTCAGGATCTTCCCCCAGTGACTTTCTCAACTTGAAAGTACTATGCTCTCTACTGCCTCTGCCTGGAGGGCCCTTCCCCCACCCCATCCTTGTCCCCATCTTCAGATGGCTGATTCTTACTCCAAACACTATCTCCTCAGACACATTCACAGACCACCTTACTCTCATAGGGCCCCTGTTATGCTTTCCTGGGGCTCTTGTTCTCCTTCAATACTCATTAAACAGATCAAAATCTGCTTCCCCTGCTAAGCCAGGAACTCTCTGGAGGATGTAGACAGTGCCTTATCACCTGTTCATCTTACAACCTCACTTGAGATGGTCTTGCCCAATGGGTCACATGCAATCAACAGGAGCTGACTGAAGAGATGAGGTCAGCCTGCTAGGACAACAAGGCCTGGAGTGCCTAGCCCTCTAGTTAGTTATGGAGGTTGGACATATGACTTCTTGCCCTTCCTAAGCACCTTACCCATTCTAAGTGCTCACAGAGGAGAGACTCCAGCCAATGTCCTGAATTCTACCTTCTCTTTCCCCAATGTTTGATTCCCTTGACCAACTCCCTCATGTATCGTCCCTTCCACAAATCCCCTGCCTGTTCAAGAAAAGGGACAGTGTAGAGGTGTTCAATGACCCCTGAGACACCCTTCCAGGGTATATCTACATTTGCCCACAAAAAAAAAAATCCTAATGATATCAATATATTTGGGGCATCAGGAGGGGGGGGGGAAGACCGGCCCAAGTGACCTCTACATGGCTCCTGAAATCATCTCCAGTAAATAACACCTGCCTCTACTATGTAGAAAACCAGCTCTGACTCAGTCCTAAGGATAGGCAGCTCTTGCCAGTCTTGGCAGGATAGTCCATTGAAATATCCACTGTCATCTGCCTTCAGCCTGACCTCACCAGCCTACCTTCTTTGACAACACAGCTCTGGGTGAGGAATAGAACACTATGCTAGAAGTTCTGCTTTCTTTTCTGGTACTTCATGTAACTTTCCAGACCTCTGTCAGGTCAGTATGGCCTTAGAGACGGCTCCTTAGTCATTCTCCTGCTGCAGTGCTCCAAACTCCACCAACCATTGCTCTAAAAGCCTCTCAGAGTCAGCTCTTCCTGGGGGCCTGATAGACTGGCTGGTGCTGGAGAGCCACTGAGGAGGTGGCATAGAGCCACAGAGAAGAGCAAGAACAGTGGAAGAGGGCAAGGTCAAGTTGACAAATATCAGACAATGAGAAAGAATTGCATAAACTGCAGTGGCATAATGTAGCATAACAGATGGATAATTAGATTTATTCTAAGAGCTGTAAAAGTAAGTAATTAAATAAAAATATGGAACAATGAATCTGCCACAGARAGACACCTAACAGCCTCATGAGGGCCCTGCAGCTGGCACAAGCAGCCTGGGAGAGAAGCAGTGGGCAAGAACCTCTAAAGCTGCCCTGATGTTTTAGGCACAATAAATTGAGCACCAACTCAAGCTGAGCACAGGGGACAGCCCAGTTGCAGACAGAAATAATCAGACCAATGGCTGCAAACTGTGTTGTACCATGGGAGTAGTCTCCTGTCTACATCTGGAAGACAGCATCCTGAGGTAGGCCAATAAACTTCCTACCACCAGCATGGTTGGCAAGGCCCCTGCAAAACAGGACTGACAAATTGTATTTATCTTTGCAGAAGCAGAGGCAAAGAGGAAGGGAGACAAAAAATGCACGTACAGATGACGGGATTCACTGTCACCAACAGAGGAAGGCTGAGAGATCCAAATCAGGCCTCCACTCTCCTCCCAGAGGTTGGCAGCAGATGAGGAGGATGCAGTCGCTATGTAAGAAACATGAAGTAAGCTAAGCACCTAATGTGTGCAAAGCATTGTTAGGCATCAAGGAAGCAGTTTCCCCAGACATGAAATTAGTTATTTGGAAGCAAACAGATCCTCTAGAAGTTGTTTTGTATTTAACAGGACTCTGTTTTTAAGTGACCAAACTAAATTCAAACTCATCTAAGGAAAATTGGAGTTTATTGGGTCCCATCATGAAGAAGGATGACAAAGCTTAAAGTATAGCTGGTTCAAACAATGTGCCAAGGCGCTCTCAGGCTACAGCTCTAGGTTTGGCTTCCCTCTCTGGACATGGCTGCTTTCTCTGGGCAGGGATAAGTCTGATGGCCACAGGCAGCTGCTAAACATACCAATCCTAGTGTAAAGAGAACTTCTCTTCCCACATGGGAAGGATTCCAGGAAAAGACTTCAGCTCTGCTGTTTCACATGCCCATTCCTGGACCAATCATTGTACAGATGGAAGGGGCATTCTGAGGGGGCTAGACTAGGTCAAATGATCAATTCTAACTGGGAAAGGAGAAGGTGGGGAACAAAGATTAACAGCTTCACCTGAACATATGGTACTGGTGAAGAAATTTCCAAAAGAAAGTGTGTTAAAAAAAAAAAAAAGGAGCATAGAAGAATTTGTTGAGACCAAAAACAATATAAACTAAAAATCTTCAGAGCCTATCACATTGTTTTTTTTTTTTTTTTGTTTGGCTGGTTTTTTGTTGTTGTTTTGTTTTTTTGGTATGGGAGACAGAACCCCAGGAGCACTTAACTACTTAGCCACATGTCCAGCCCTTATTTGTATTTTATTTAGAGACAAGGTCTCACTGAGTTGCTTAGGACTTCACTAAGTTGCTGAGGCTGGCTTTGAGCTCATGATCCTCCTGCTTCAGTCTCCTGAGCCATTGGGATTACAGGAGAGCACCAGACTCTAACACATTTTTTTAAACCACCTCATTCCAAAGCAGTAGATAACAATTTGGAACTGGATTGGGAGGCAGGCCAGGTCTTCAATAGTTTGGCTGGGGCTCTTATTGCAGAGATCCAGTCTGACCTTACCAACTGGAAATTATCCTAAGACCCCTGCTGCTTTAATAGCAGCTCATCCCTATAGACCTGTAGCCACAGCCCAAGCCCAGAATTGTGTAGACATCAAATAGCTTCACTTAGGAAACCCATATAGTACCTAAAGTGTAGAGAGGGAACCCAGGCAGCTGATTCCTTGAAGGCCTGTCATATCCACTAACTTGATCTCCTTTCCAGAATATTGACCCCAACCTGGAAACCTCAGCACCTTTGATAAGGGGCCAATGATGAGGATGAATTGCTCTGATTCACATCAATGTCTCCACAGTTCTACCTCCTCAGAAGGAGAGCTAGGTGCCTTAACTACAGAAGTAAAAACCCTACCACATCCTCACTGCCACAAAAGCTGCCTCTTTGTCCAATACTTAGCATAAAGAATTCACAGTGGGGGTCTACCTGCAACCTGGCTTGAAGGGAGAGCTGTACCAAGTCTTCCTTCCTAGTCTCCAGGGCTCAATGCACACACTTCCAACTCCCCCATCAGGCTCCAATCAAAATAGCCTTAGCCATCTCTCTGGCTAATTATCAAAGCAGCTTCCCTTCTTGAAGGTATCCGGGACCTCAGGCCTCCTTCAGGACAAGCAGATGACATCCTTCCTCCAAGAGCCTGTCAGGATCCCTAATGAAAACTGAGACATGTTCAAGATGTTTTTTTGTTCCAAGATCACCTGATACCAGGGCATCATGGTGGTTTCTCAGGAGTTGAACCTAGCAGAATCATCCTTGGGCTTCAGATCCTGGCCTATGCACATTCCTAAGTGAGTCCTTTAAATTTACTATGGACATGGAGCCTACCCTGAGTGGTGGTGCTAGCCAGAACCTGGATACCAAAATCATTCTGTCACCATTACTGCCCAGTAAGGCTATTCCTAGAAATGTAGGAAAATGAAGATCAGCTCCCACATGGAGCAGTTAAATGCTCTTACTATGCCTGGTACTTGGAGCCTTATTGGAAGGTCTGGTTCAATGCAGGCATGCTGGCCCCAGATCTAAGAACCTCAAGCCAACCTGATGAGCAGCTTGCCCATAGATAGCCCTTTGGTCTGGTGCTCACTGAGCTGGCTCTGCTTCTCCTGGACTCACACCATGACTTACTGCTGCTGATAAGGGACCCACAGACAAGAAAGTTCCTGTTTCCCACTTTGCCCCTGCCCTTCCTTGGCCTAAGTTGGAACCAATTAGCAGCCCAAACCTAGAGTAAACCTTAGTAACTATAAACCCCAAACTAAGCTCAAACAACATTTCTCAAGTCATACTAAATGAAGTAACTTTTTAAAATCCCAGACAGTTCAAACAACAACTAACCTTCTTGCCCCTTCAGAACTATTGAACTTGGACAAACTAAATACATAAAAATTAGCATATAAAACAAGAATTTGATCCTTCTCCCCAGAGGGTAGCATGTGGGCAACATTAGGGTAACCCCAGGTGCAGCAGATATAGCACAAATGGTTCCTGGGTCCACAGCAAGGGGAAATGAGGGTAAAAATGGGAAAAAAGATGGTAACTTTGGCTGCAGCACTGGTGATGAGGGGAAAGAAGTGCTCGTTTAGCTCCAATAAGGAGGACATGGCTCTGATATAAGCCTGGACATGCTATTCCTGAGTTATGTCTAACTGGACACCTGGCTGAAGGGATCTGGAAAACTGCGAGGTTCACCCCAAAATTCAAGCCAATTACAGGTTGCATAAGGTTAAACTGGCCCAGAGAACAACCATAAGAATTGAATTGAGAGGTTCAAAGGGACTCATGCAAGAAAATTCAACAGTATTAATGTCTTAATTTTATTATTTTATATATTTTACTTAGAAAATGATATAAGCTTGTGGTACCAAAGGGGGGGATAGAAGGGTACAAAAGAGAAATGAAAATCCATTTTTTCCATATCTTCATTACCTCAATTAAAAATATACATGCAGGGGCTGGGGTTGTGGCTCAGTGGCAGAACGCTTGCCTAGCATGAGAGAGGAACTGGGTTCGATTCTCAGCACCACATATTAATAAATAAAGGTCCACTGACAACTAAAAAATATTATTTATGTGTGTGTGTGTGTGTGTGTGTGTGTGTGTGTGTGTATAGTTTAAGGGCTGGGGGTATAGCTCGGTAGCACACAGCACACAGCACTTGCATACTATGCATCAAACCCTGGGTTCAATACCCAGCACCATAAAAACCACACATAAAAATATAAAAACAAAAACACACAGCATAAATTTATACATAAATCTGTACCAATTCACCTTTGCTATTCCTGGGCAATTACTACACACTATTTTCACAATATAGATCCTGCTTTACAGCAGGGAGACTCCTCAGGCCTTTTAGGGCAGCCTCTTGATGCCAAATTGAGCAGCAAATACAAAGGAAGAGGGGTGGTCAGTCATATGTAAAAGACCAGGAATACCTAACATTTCAGAATCAAAACTAAAAAGCTTCTTGGGGAATTGTGAACTTGGCTCCAATACAGTCTCTCTCTCTAGCCAGGGAAGAGGGAGGTCAGCTTTGTAAATGGCTTCTCCCTAGTTCTCCTGCCCAGGGGTTGGCAGCTTTACCTCCCTCAGCTCATCATCTGAGGGCTCTCATTCTTTGACATCATGCCTGTCACCACCTGTGTCTTTCCCCGTGGGTGATGCTCTACAGCCTCAAAGTTCCTCTGAAACATCATCACTGGCAGGGTTGAGCAACTGAGAACAACAGGAGATGACCTCATGGCCTTCATATCCTCATGCCAGCTCCCAATTACTTGTACTGCTGAATAATTGAAAAGGGAGAATAATCCACTCAGCTGATTTGGGAAGCCAGCCAGGGACACAGATTATCTCAGAGTGAATTATTCACAAGAGGGATAATTGGGAGTTGCCCAAACTTCTATTTGTGGCTCAGGCATCACATGGAAGGACATTTAATATGGAAAGTATAAACACAAGAAGAAGGAAGGAGACCTGGCTCCCAGGCCCAGATTTCCTCTATGGTGCTTGGTAAACTATTGCCCTTCTCTCAATCTCAGAGTCAATGAGCATAACAATAATGATGACATTACCATTGATATTATTAGTGATAGCTCTTATTGTATTTCCCTTCCTGTATCCTGTGCCTTGTGTTGGGAGCTTTACATGTTTACATGTAGACATAAAAAAAATCATTTAACTCTCAAGTTGTGTTTGTAAAGCACCACCATCTTCTCCAGATCTCACCTGAGGGAGCTGAGGCTTGGCAGATTATGCAACTGATCCAGGAATATGTGGCATCAAGCTATCTGCCCAGGGCCCAAGTCTTACCTGAGAAGCTCTGTTGCTATCCAACTCTTATCTCTCCCACTTTGTAAGGAAGAGTATTCCTTATATATGAAGTTATGAAGAATAAAAACTGCCCTTTTCCTCTTGAAATTTCTGGATTTTGAGGTAACAAAACTGGGCCCCTCCTCTGAAAGGTTAGATGCAGCCTTTGGGAAGAGGCTGATAGCTGATCAACTCATTTCAAGAAATACAGAATTTAGATGCACAAGCCATTGTCAGACTTCTAAGAGAATGCCATAATTTATTACTTAATCTATCATCATGATCAAAGAATCAAAAATGAAATCACTGTCCTCCCTCTGACATGAAACCTCTTCAGTCAAAAGGCTGTTACTAAGCTGGGCAGCTGAGTATTGTGGGGCCAGAGTATGGGGGGGGGGTGTAGGCACTGCAAACCACTATGAGCACCACCTCATAGATAAGTATCCATGAGGAGAATGGCTAGGCCCCGTACATCTAAGTCCCCTCCCATAGTGCCAAAACACAGCCATTGGATGCTATATATGATAGTCAGTCTCCAAAATGGCCACCAATGATTCTCACCTTAAAGTATTCATGCCTTTGTATCTTTGCCTTCCAGATATGACTGATTTGTGTGACCAGATTTCAAGACTAAGGTAAAAGGTAGTATTATATTTAAAGAATAAAGAAGAAATGTTGACTTCTGGACTAGGTCATAAAAGACTCTCATGTTGTCCATCTGGAGGAAGCCACTGGAATGCTTGGACAAGTCCTATGGAAAGGCTTATATAGAGAGAAACTGAGTCCTCGTACCAACAGCCAGCACCAGCATGCAGGCATGTGACCTGGAAGCAGATCCGAATTGGAAGTAGATCCTCAACTCCAATCTCAGCCAATATCTTGTAAACATTTCCAAATTCATGACCCATAGAAATAATAAGTGATTACTCTTGTTTTAGCCCACTAAGTTTAGAGATAATTGGTTAGCTATATAAATATAGCTAACAAACTGAACAAGAAGGAGAAAGATGCTTCATAGCACTGTTTTCAACAAATGATGCATCAATGAAAGAACCAGATCTGGTGTGAAGGCCACAGMCACCAAAAGCCCTGACTAAGCCCCCAGACTCCAGAATACTATACAAGAGAAAGCAAAAACCTTCATGGCTCAGATATCCCACCCCTCCAGTCAAGAAAAAGCTTGTAGGAAACAGAATGCCCATTCCTCTGTCTCCTGTAAGAATGACAATAACATTCTTGTTATTCCTATATTATTTCCCTTACTCTTCACTGTAACTCTCAGAGGAAGCACACAGTAGGAGCACAATAAATATTTGTTACAAGTGAAGTACATTAGTTTTCAACGGATCTACATCCTTTAGATACAAGTTCAACTTTCTACTTTCCATAGTACTTTAATATTTGAAAAGCTTATACTGAAAGTATATTACTTGTAGAGTCAGAGGAAACAATATATATTAAACTAAAAAGAAATATTTGCAGAGCAAGCAAGGCTCTAATGACTATATGCCTTTCCCAGGGAAGCATATCTCCATCCAGAGCCGACTCTTTCAGAAAACATTTGGATGAAAACAAAGTGGTAATAACAGTTAACACCCTGAGCACTACTTGTCAGGTGTTCTTGATACTTAACATGTATTAACTCATGTAATCCACTACAACAACCAACCCTAGGTAGGTACTAATATCTCCATTTTGCAGATGAGGAAACTACTTGAGAGATAATAATTTGCCCAAGGTTACATGCTAACAAGTGGAAGAGTTTAGATTCAAATCTAGGTCACATAGCTCCTGCCTTATATTCTAAATCACATCACACATTGTTTTCATGAACTACCTGGAGCCATTAAAAAAAAAAAAAGGCTCATTCCAACCTTGTCACTGGACTGTGGGACATCAACACAGCACCTGTGGTGCATACCTTCCATATTGCCCTTGACCTCAGAGGAAGTAGGTGTTCTGCTAGCCAGTAGAGGTGGTAGGGTTGCTCTATTCATCTTCAACCCATGTTCAGAAATAGCCTCAGCACTGGAAAACCAGGCAGACACCATGATCCTGAGCCTGGACAGCCAAACTCTCATCATGAAAGTAGCCAAACCCATGGAAAGGCATGAAGCATTCTAACTCCATTTCGTAATTTGGTGAGTAGTAAAGTCTTCTCAGTTAGGAGGGCTATCACAACCGTTTGAAATACCACCCAAAATCTTGGAGAGAGGGGATTTCTTGAACAGACACCAAGAAGAGCTTCCTACCACGACAGGTATAAAGGAACAAGGCCAAAAGCTCTATATTTCAGAAACCATAAAGAGTTCCTTCCTACAAATCAACCAGTGGGATCATTTAAAAAATGTAAATCTGATCTTGTTACTCCCTTGATTAATGGCCACCAGTGGCCTCCCATTACCCTTAGATTAAAATCCAAATACAGATTACCCTGTCCTTGAGGTACACTGCCAACTTCCTCAACCTTACCCTCTGTTAGTCTTTCTATGGCTCCCCCATTCCAGCCACGCTGGCCTCTGGCTGCTTCTGTAATTGGCCAAGCTTGTCCCACATCAGAGACCTTTGCCTGGAAAACTCTTAGCCTAACGTGTGCTTGGTTGACTCTCCGTACATTTGCACTGAGGTCAGAAAGACAACTCTTCAAAAACGTTTCCATAACTAACCCATCTCAAGTATCCCAATATCAGTCTATTTTCTTTATAATGTTTATTACTGACTTTTGGAAACAGTTTTATTGAAATAAAGTTCACATATCACAAAATTTATGAATTTAAAACATTCATGCACCTGTGCAACCATCACCACAATCAATTTAAGTGTTTTCCTCCCCCACCCATCCATACCTGTTAGCAGTCACTCTGTAATTCTCCCCAATCCCATCTCCACCACCACCATGCTAAGCAACCAATAGCTACTTTCTGGCTCTATATATTTGTGTAATCTGGACGTTTTCATAAAAATGGAATCATTCAAACATGTTCCTTTGTGACTATCTTCTTTCACTTAGCATGTTTAAAAGTTTATCCATGTAAGTTTCATTCATATCAAGTTTCGTGCAAGTATCATTTCATTTCTTTTTACAGTCAAATAATATTCCAGTATATGAATATACCTCATTATATTCACCCATTTTTCAGCTGATGAACATTTAAATTCTTTGTACATTTTTGGCTACTAATAAATGATGCTGCTACTATAAATGATGCTGCTATGTTCATTCATGTACAAGTTTCTGTGTGGACATGTTTTCTTAGGTATACATCTGGAAGTTAATTGCTGGATCATATGGTAACTCAGTTTAACCATCTGAGGAACCACCAGAGTGCTTTTCAAAGTGATTAAATCATTTTACATTCCACTGGGAGTGTATGAGAATTCTAATTTCTCTGCATCCTTTTTTTTTTTTTAAAGAGAGAGTGAGAGAGGAGAGAGAGAGAGAATTTTTATTATTTATTTTTTAGTTCTCGGCGGACACAACATTCTTGTTGGTATGTGGTGCTGAGGATCGAACCTGGGCCGCACGCATGCCAGGCGAGCGCTACCGCTTGAGCCACATCCCCAGCCCTCTCTCTGCATCCTTGTTAACATTTATTATTGTCTTTCTCTTTTGGTGACAGTCATCCTTATGAGTGTAAAGTGTTTTCTCATATTTTCTTTCAATGGTTTTCTCTTCTGATACTCTACCTTTAAAAAAATCTGTTGTTGTGGGCTGGGGATGTGGCTCAGCGGTAGCRCGCTCGCCTGGCATGCGTGCGGCCCGGGTTCGATCCTCAGCACCACATACCAAAAAAGATGTTGTGTCCGCCCAGAACTAAGAAATAAATATTAAAAGTTCTCTCTCTCTCTCTCTCTCTCTCTCTCTCCTCTCTCACTCTCTCTTAAAAAAAAAATCTGTTGTCTTTGCATTATTGAATTGCAAGAGTTCTTTTTTAAAAAAATTTTTAGTTATATATGGACACAATACTTTTATTTATTTATGTGGTGCTGAGGATTGAACCCAGTGTTCCATGCATGCAAGACTAGCGCTTTACCACTGAGCCACAACCCAAACCTGCAAGAGTTCTTAATAAGGCTGTTTGTTGTTGAGTTGTAAGCTTTTTTTTTTTAAGTTATAGATGGACACAATACTTTTATTTTACTTATTTTTATATGGTGCTATAGGATGAAACATGGTGCCTCATATGTTCTAGGCCATTGCTCTACCACTGTGCTACCACCCCAGCCCTGTGAGCATTCTTTATATATTCTAGATACAAGCACCTTATCAGACAATCTTTTACTTTTTTGGCTAGTATCCTCTGAAGCATGAAGGTATTTATTTATTATTTGAAAACTGCTTTCAAATTGTTGAACCCAAAGTAATTTTGCCACTAAGTTGTATCCCTAGTATCCACCTCCCCCCTCCTTTTTTTTTAAGACAGGGTCTCACTAAGTTGCTAAGTTACTTAACTTGTTAAGTTTCTCAGGCTGGCATTGAACTTGTGATCCTTCTGCTTCAGCCTCCCTAGGTGCTGCAAATACAGGCACACACTACTGCATCAGGCTCTAATACATATTTTTTGAATGAATGAATGAATGAAATTTTAAGTCTAAAAGAAGTGAGTGCTGGTATGATCTATGAGAGAGCATTTACTTGCCAGGAGGCAGAGGTGACTAGAGACTCCATTAAGAGGGAAAGAATATGATCTTCCCCAAGAGCATGGGAAAGAGCATGGTGGGTGGGTATTAGATGCAACCTGAGGAACATACATCATCACCTCATTTAAATGCTCAGATAGTCATTCTCTCTTCTCAGTCACCTGGGGAGCCAAAGACAGAACAATAGCTCAAAAATGGGGACAACCCAGGCAGAGGGGCCCAACCACAATAATAAGACTCTCTCCAGAGTCCTTAGCTCAGTGTAACATCCCTAGGCTCTTATTTTTCAGAACTGCTAAGGCTTATGTGTCAGTGTGGCTGACAAGCAAAGGTTTTACTGGGGAGAAAATGGAAGTGAAAACTGGCTCCTTCCTTCCCTAACTTAGCTTTTGCCAAGAACAACAACAAAAAATATCTGAAGAGCTGAATGTCCAAGCCTGAGTGCTTCATCAAAACATGTCAGGGATCCTGGACTTGACTGCCCAAGGGAGGCATTTCACCAGACAAGCAGAGAGGTTGGAGGTATAATTTGGGGGCTCAGGGTTGGGTGAGTTCTGAACAAGGTAGACAGTTTAGACAACCAATCTCTCTGAACCCCAGAGCAGGGGGGACAGGGTGACCTAATAGATAAACAGAGGTCCTGAAGAGAAGTGTGAAAACTTGTTAGTGGCAGCATCAAAGAACCATATTCAATGACAAGGCCTCCTGCCCTTTCATTCCCAGACTTCCACTATATCACCACCCCCAGTGCTAAGGACCAAACCTAAGATATCTTGTATGCTAAGCACTTATACCAGCATACTCCCAGCTTTATGTCACCTTTTATGATAGCAAGGAAAGAAGGGTAGAGTGAGTTTCTGAGGCACATGCATACACACACGCAAGTGCATGCACACACACATACATACACAGAGTTGCCTCTGGGAGGGTAAATAAATATTCATGAACAGTTCAGTGTGTGAAAAGCAAGGACAGAGGATGACAAATGGTGCCAATTAGAAAGAAAGGGTGGTATACAT